GCACACCATTGTTGAGCTGTCCATTGTCTATGTTCTTTAGCCCATCTAAGCCGACTTTTCTTTTGCAGTGGAGTTAATAGTGGCTTTTCTTTGGCCTATAAACAAGTAGTGCAACTTTAGGGTTTTTACTTCACTTTATTTTATAAGAAAACTTACTTTGTAAGTGCTAAATCCCAGTTTGTGGGCCTCACTATGAGTTGTGGACCTCGAAATTCTCCTTCCAACAGCGTCACTCCACAGAGCACTTAATTGTAAATAATTGGCACGCCTGTTTTTCGCGATTATTCTTCTTAATGCTCTTCGGTCGGCATTTGTGATATTACTTTTTTCACATATCGTGGCTTAATATTAACTGAACCAGTTACGTTATATCTTCTAACAATATTTCTCACACTGTACCGCGATAAGTCTAACAAAGTTGCAATTTCTGAGTTTGTTTTCCCAGAATTAAAAAATTTAATTATCAGTAACCGAATTTTCTCACTAATGACCTTTCCTCTACTCGTTTTGAAAACCTTAACTACCCAAAACTATTTTAGACGTATTCTGACAGCTGTGATTAATAAAAACAATTGTCATGGCTTTTATTTTTCACTGCCACCTATGAGTTATAGACTTATTTTCCATTGAAATGAAAATAGGTTGATATGCTGTAATTGCAACATGTGTTATTTTTATGCTGCAAATTTGATTAGGGAGTGATAAAGTTGGTGTTTTCTACTATATATTATCAAAATATTCACTGTTAATATTTTGAACCTATAATTACCCTGCTACATATTTATGTTTGATAAGAAAAAAACTAAGATTTCAATAGTTGGGCCAACTGAAGTGGGAAGGGGCTCGTAATTAATGGAACGTTGAAAAAATATATTATAGCTGACTTGGCAACAGGCGCACAGTCGTGCAAGTTCGCATTTTTTTAATCCTTAGAAAAATCAAATATTGGTAGGCCATATCAAAATTTATGAAGTGATTTTAACAGTGCCTAAACGCTCCCTTTCCTCAAAGATTATCTTTTTCCTCTTTGCTCTCGTTCTTCCTTCTCTCCTTTCCTTCCATTTTTTTCTCAAACTCCATTTAAATATACAATACACATGCGCTTCCATTTAAAAACTAAACTTGTTATATTAATCTGGGTAGTCATTGTACTGTATGAGCCGAACTGATATTGTAGTGCGTGGTCTCCTTTATTTATTATGTTAGCCAAAGTGTCAGGCGGCGCTGAAGCTGCCCTGTCATCGAGGGTTCTGGATGTTCTGTTACTGGCTGGAGGAAGTTATAATGGTTACGAGATCTGCAATAGATACTGGTGTATAAAACGATGGTGAAAATATAGAGTTATTAAAAGTGAGTGTGTTTTATTCAACAGGGACGAACACTACAGTCATCATCCAAGTTGTATACAAGCAGGTATTGTGTATTATTGGCCAGTAACAACAAACACACGTTTATAAAAACAATATATTACAAATACAAAAATATTCAGAATAGCACATCAACAAACTTGGGTATATTTACAGAATGACTAGAACCGAATTGACAATCTAGAGTAGTATATATACAAAAGTTACTATAAACGTAATTATATAAGCACGTTTATTCGGTATGCAGTCAGTTATTTTTGTATCTATACTTAATTCAATTTTAAAAATCATCGTATTTTAACATTTATTTTCCATGGGTCTGCCGATCTTTGCAGGATTGATATAATAGCGTTAAAAATTGAGAACAAAAACCAACGAATTTTCTTTCATTTGCATAGTGTATGTTTTACTAATTAATCTATATTCAGCACCTATATCGATTAAATTGTGTCACTTTCAATTGACAATTAGAATAATTTCGCAGCAGTATGTAATCCACATACCCGAATAAGGAAATAAAAGGTTTGACTCCAGCAGACACTTCAGTTTTTTTAATAAGCAATAATACGACCGCCATTTTTAAAGTAAGGACCGATTGCGCATCGAGTCACGAGCTGTCTGTTCAACCTCCGACACTCTTGGCCAATTGTTCACTACACCGTCTCACGGTTCTGTCGGTGTCGGTAGATTGCTTTGTTTGTCAAGATTTCAATCAACAAAACTTGTGTTTCCAAACACAAAAAAAGTTCCTTCTGCTGAGCAGCTTGTAGAATGAGGCCCGTTATTCTACCATTTAAAACCACCGGCTGAGCCAGCTCTCTGGCGGCGTCGTTTTGCTTCACGACAACGCTCGGCCTCGCGTTGCGGCAAGGACACAGGCGCGACTGGACAAGTTTGAGAATCACGGGATCATCTGCCATTCAGACCAGACTTATAATAAAAAAATAATCAAGTTTTTTGACTCCATTAAAAAACGGTTCGAACTTAAAAAATGACTTTCCTATTGTGTTATTATTAGCAGTGAATATTAGGCTTTTAGCACTATTCACTTAGGTTATTATTTACATTCGATACATGATCACTTAATCTGTATTACATGTATACAGGGTGTCCCGAAAAAAGTGTGCAATATTCTACCAGCGGTTTCTAGCGCTTAAAATAGGAAGACCAGTTTATATAAACATAGGTCGATAAACGTCCCCTAAGGGCGCTACGGTCTTTTAAAGGGGCTCTTCTGAAGATGGTTTCCGAAACGTGTTGAGATAAAGTCATAAAATTTGGTATTCTAGCCTAGTTTTTTATGCTGTATTTAAAAATATTAACAATTTTAGACAATTTTGTTTGGAAACGTATGTAACAGGAACGGACTCTGTGATTCTATTTTTGAAATTTAATTTTAGAATTTGAAAATTTAGGACCTATGTTTATATAAACTTTTCTGCCTATTTTAAGCTCTAGAAACCGCTGGTAGAATATTGCACACTTTTTTCGGGACACCCTGTATATGTATGATATATGGGTTTCAAAAACCAACTTAGTTAAATAGTTTCCATTTATGGCAGCAAGTTTCGGCTTTTGATTTCATACCTAGATTCTGATATGGGTCGAGTTACATATAAACCCTGCCGAATTCTCTTTGTTTAAATGCTTTGGAAAACGTATCAAATATACCTGTTACATTATACAGGGTGTCTGCGAAAGGTTGGTAAATCTCGAAACTGGAGAAACTACAGCCCAAAATATGTGGATTGACCTAAACATACCTTAGTCCAAAAGTTGATAGTTTGCGAGATACAGGATGTCAAAGTTACAATTTTATTTTCTATTTTTTATGGCCAAACTTCTAGAGGGCGCCACTTACTTCGGTAAATAACTCATCATAACTTTTTTGTGCCACCCTGTATACAACAACTGACCGAAAAATCTTATTTTCTCGTATTTCCACAACAAAAAAGGTTTACTTGTTAGAAGTGCCTGAAGCTAATAGTTTTCGAGATATTTGTTTTTAAAAGTTCCAATGCATTATTTGTACCATGACATTTTTATAACATAATAATCGAGTTGCTTTGGATATCTGAGTAGCGTTGCTATGGTTTCTAATGTTTGTCATAATATTGCTTTAAGCTTCATCAATAATTTTAAGTTGACAATAAGTTGTTAAACATCATGGAGTTTGACGAATACTCTGATATGCATTTAATGTCCGGATTGGCAAGATTTAATGCTTTAAAAGAAAAAAAATATATATTTGAGTCATTTATTTTAACAGTGAGTAGATCTGATCAAAAGAAATGTTTTTTTCCTTTAACATTTTTCTGGTAAAATTAAAGTAACAAAGTTATAGCCCTTTAGAAGTTTGAGTACCGCCCTGTCTCAATAATAATATTATGTGCTCGTGTTTGGCAACAACGGATATAATCCGCCTTATCGGTTCATCGCATCGGAAACAAAAAAGCGAAAGAATTTGAAACGCTTATCACGATGTTTTTACTACAATTTTATTCAGTTGTATTCAGTTAATGAGTCAGTCGGTAACGCGTGAGTGAATAGTGGTGTTTGTTGCGTGGGTCAAACGAAATACAAAATGGCACATGTTTACGAAAATGCTGAACTTGAACATGATTATTATTTACGGTGGGGGAGTCTTTACAAAATGCTGCCGCGGCATCACGGATTTATGCGGCTCGGTTTCCCAATCGAGTGCAAGCAACCCCTCGTGCCTTTGTTAATGTAGTACAAAGGGCTCGTGAATTAAGACCACACCGGGGAGGTCATGCCGGTGCTCCAAGACCGCACGATCAAATACAGGTCCGCACTGAAATACTTGTCGGGAGGATACTTTATATACAAGGTAACATTTTTTTTATTTTTACACACATATTTTGGTTTATCTTCCTTCTACAATCATTATCTGAAAATTAATGACTCAACTTCAAAGTCACCCTGTATATTAGCTTAAGACTCTTCTAACAAGTAAACCTTTTTTATTGAGGAACTACGAGAAAATAAGATGTTTCGGTCAGTTGTTGTATACAGGGTAGCCCAAAAAAGTTATGATAAGTTATTTACCGAAATAGTGCGGCAAGTGGTGCCCTCTAGAAGTTTGGCCATAAAAAATAACGGATTCTTGTTTCCCATTCTAGGAAACCTCCCTATACCGAGTTTTATGCCAAAATCTGAAATAACTCTTAGGTCAATTCACATATTTTGGTCTGTAGTATCTCCAGTTTCGAGATTTCCCTAACTGTATACATAGTAATTACAAAATATAACATAACAAAACTATTATTTATATTATCTATTTTACAGTGTTTCCTAATATGGGGCAAAATGCAAGTGGTGATTCTTTGTTGATTGCCCAGTGGCGATTAATTGAAGACATAGGTTTTACAAAATTCTGAAAGCATTCATGTCCACGTACATCTTGCTTATTGAAGTTGGGTGGTAGACGGCGAAGCCCCACTCTTCTAACGTCAATTACCAATCTTACTTGACCATATCCAACGTCTTCTCTATCAGGATTATCGGTACTTTGTTGTTTCCACGCATCTACCACCCTGAGGTTAATCATACCGCAGTCGTGGATGTATAACAAAGTCCGTATCGGCGAATGAACGAATCCTGATTGGTCCACTATCTCCTAACGTCGATCCCCCAGTCCTCTTTGATCATGTCCGACGCCTTTTCTCCGATCATGATTGTCGGTGCGTTGGTGTTTCCACTGATTATGTTTGGCATGATAGACGCATCTACCACCCTTAGGTTGCCGATGCCGTAGACACGTAGTCGTGGATCGACCACGGCATCCACGTCACTGGGCGGACCCATTTTGCAGGTTGAAGTTGGGTGGTAGATCGTGAACGTGAAATGGCGGATAGAACACTCCCAGTATTCGTCTGTGTCGAAGGCGTATTGCCTACAACCTGTGGAAGGTGTAACTCAATTATTGCTGTCTAAGTGTTCAACATCAAAAAATTGATATACAGGGTTTGTCCGGAAAGTAATAGGACTCATTGACTGTACTTCGTTTAATTGCCCAGATGTTATATTTACCAAAATCTGTGGTTAATGATATTGTGACACAGTGTAAGGTGTGCGCGAAGATGGTCCCAAAAGTGCTCACTGACGACCAGAAATTCCGACGAGTGGAAGTGTGCCAAGAAAATTTGAACATGTGTGAAAGTGACACCCAATTTTTGAATAAAGTAATCACAGGTGACGAGTCGTGGATCTTTGAGTATGTTCCCGAGACAAAGAGGCAATCTTCCGAGTGGCACACGACGGCGTCTCCTCGTCCAAAAAAGGGAAAAATGAGCAAATCCAAAGTGAAAACGTCTTTTTTGACATCAAAGGCATCGTCCACCATGAATTTGTTCCTCCTGGACAAACCGTCAAAGCCAAGTTTTACGTGGAAGTGCTCAGGAGACTCAAACGAAGGGTCAGTCGGGTCCGATAACAGATCGCAGCCGACTGGGAGTTGCACCACGGTAACGCCCCGGCTCACACCGCCTTTCTTGTGAACAGCTACCTGACCAAGGCCGGCATTCCAATGCTTCCGCAGCCGCCCTACAGCCCAGATGTGGCCGCATCGGACTTTTATTGGCCCATGAAAGGCAAGCATTTTGAGACGACAGAGGGGATCCAAGCAGCATGCACCGCGGCTCTCAAGGCTATTCCGGAGAATGCCTTCCGTGGCGCCTTCAATGCTTGGAAATCGCGCTGGCAGCGCTGCATCGACGCAGAAGGAAAAGGAATTGTAACGATTGGCTCAATAATTTTTTTTAAGTCGACTCAGTCCTATTACTTTCCGGACAAACCCTGTATACACACCCGTGTACAACCCCACCTCCTAATTTTTTCGGAAGCAAATACATCTAGATTTTTGCTGAATGTTGGTCATATCAGTAGTTGCAAGTATGTGATCCAAATCGAAAAATAATGATTTAGTTGAATATACAGTGTGTCCCAGATTCGCTTCTCTATATAGGGATCTCGGCTCTTGTTATATCTAGGGTTAAATGGGGAAGGTTTTAGAGGAAATTTAGTGCTTTCGATAGCCGGCTTCAGATTTGCGATCGGTGAATTGGTTTTGAAAATATCAGCGAAAAACCGAAAATGGCGGAATTTGTTTTTTGCCAGTAAATCCAGAACGGTTAATTTGACAACTGTCACAATGTGACATTAGTCGGACATTTTTTAAGAAAATATGAAAGCATGTATGACATGTCTCAAACGCAAACCCGCCTTTTCTTATGGATGCCATATTGGGTTCTTTGATTTTTGAAAATAGTGTAAAATTTTCAGTCTAGTGATGTCTCACAAGTGCGTAAAAGATTGGAGTAGCACCGAAATATCATCATACGTAATGTTATGTATTAGTTTTTTTTTCTAAGGAGGCCATGATTTATTTGTCAGAAAATAACATTAAAGAGTAAGGCAAAAAAACACATAAACGTTTTGAATTTTCAAAATAATATTAACGTTAATATCCACTTCTCAACAAGTCAAATAAAACTAAGTGACATATAAACCGAACACAACCCAGTTTAAAAATGGTTTTAATTTTATAAAGTTGGTGAATCCAAAAATGACAATGAAATAAAAAAATTAGTTGCGGTTTAGAAAAAAAACTTTTTATTTTTAAAGATATATTAAAAAAAGTAACAAGATTCATATACTTATACGAATCACTATATGCGCTGTCTTTTTGCTGTTCTTTTATGGATCGTTTCTGGAGCATCTCTACCAAGAGTCCAACAGTAGTCTGCAAGCATGGAAGGATTCCACTTTTCCTGGCACCTTTTTTGCATTGTTGAAATATCCTGATGAAAACGTTCGCCGTGCTCATCACTTACGGCTCCGCAATTGTCAGGAAAAAGGTCCAGGTGTGAGTGTAGCAAATGTATCTTAAGAGACATATTACAGCCCATCTTTTGATACGATGACAGCATATTTTTGACAAGGGTTTTATAGTTGTCAGCTTTTCTATTTCCCAAGAAATTAGTGACCACCAGACGGAAATCATTCCAAGCAGTTTTTTCAATACCTGTTAAAGTGTTTTCAAACTGTGTATCTTTCAAAATATTCGAATCTGTGGCCCAACAAAAATACCTTCTTTAACCTTTGCCTCACTTAGTCTTGGAAATTTCTGACGCAGGTATTGAAAAGCTGACCCATCTCTATCTAATGCCTTGACAAAGTTTTTCATTAGGCCCAACTTGATATGCAGTGGTGGTAATAAAATTTTTTTCGAATCTACTAATGGCATATGCTGTACATTTTTTTGACCTGGCTCTAGGAATTGACGAACAGGCCAGTTTTGTCTGGTGTAATGAAGTGCCTTTGCCGGACTGTCCCATTCACACAAAAAACAGCATAACTTTGTGTAGCCTAGCTGCAGCCCAAGTAAAAGTGCAACAACTTTCAAATCGCCACAAATATGCCATTGGTGCTCATCGTATTTTATGCATGTCAATAGGTACTTCATATTGTCATATGATTCTTTCATGTGAACTGCATACCCTACAGGAAGAGATGGTAAAATATTTCCAATATGCAATAACACTGCCTTTAAACTCAATGTTGAACTGTCTATAAACAATCTCCATTCTTCTGGGTTATAGTTTATATTTAAAGCCGCCAGTAAGCCGTTAATGTTACTGCAGAAAACCAAGTTATTCTCCATATTGAAAAATGGTTCTAAGTTTTTGTGGCGTTTACGAAAAACACATAGCGAAACATCGTCTTCTAACAAGTTTCACTGCTGCAGTCTTGATCCAAGTAACTCTGCCTTACATTTGGAAGTTCTAAATCTCTTACAAGATCATTTAATTCTGACTGTGTTATTTGTGTGTGGCATGACGTGCTCGGTATAAAATCAGGATCTCTTGACGTTGATGGCATATCTTCTTCCTGACGAATCACTCGATCGCCATGATCTGATTCGTTTTCTGATTCGCAAGTGTAGGATTCTGGGGGTTTGGAATAGGATTTTCGTCACTGTGAGGCACAGGTTTCATCGCAGATGGTATGTTTGGGTAGTTAATAACCGATTTTTTTTTTCTTGGACATACCTGTGGCTTGTCCCACACAAGGGTACCATGCAAAAGTAACAATCATTAATATGATTTGTAGGCTCTCTCCAAACCATTGGGACAGCAAAGCGCTTAGACCGTTTTTTGCCATTTAACCAGCTCCTCAGACTCGAAGCACATGTATTACAGCAGATGTGGGGTGCCCACTGTTTGTCTTGATCACCTAGTTTACAACCGAAATAAAGCTGATATGCCTTTATTATTAGTGGAGTAATAGATCGTCTCTGAGACGCAAAAGTCACATCACCACACACGTAACAAAACTGATCTGGATTGTTTACACACTTTCGAGACATCTTGCATGAACGCTGTCAGCCAACTGAGGAAAAAATGGCTAATATAAAACAATATAATGTACACGTATGTATAACGTAACACAATCATGCCGATTACATCATCTTTCCTTGCCGAATATAAAAATGTAGCACGTGCATTCTTGTGAATTACAGTATATTAACACTGTCACAGCAGGAACACATATAATTACCGTATCTCTAAAACTTGAACTAATATTGAAAAAATAAGTTTCATTCCGGCTTTAGCAGATTAAAAATAGTAATCTTTTGTTGATTTTATTTAGGATATTTTTTGGCTGTTGATCAGTGCTATGAGTGTGTTAAAGAAACAAGTCAGAAAAATTTATTTTACACTTGAAACAACATTTTACAAAATTGTAAAGTAATGTAAAATCTAATTCTGTATGTGGGTATTAATTTACAAATTTTCAAATAACGTCCATTTGCATCCAGAAATTTTTGAACGTTTTTCGTACAACCCAGTGTATTTCTGTTAATGGTTCTAACTGTGCTCAAAATTCTTTGTCTCAGGATTTCTATGGTCGCGGGAGGATAATCCAGCTTGATTTTCTATCAAATCTTCAATGAATTCCATGATTTGTTCGTATATTATCCCTTCGAACAGCTTCTCGACATCGGGCAAGCCATTAATCGGTCGCATATTTATATACAGCTGAGAATTGTGAACTTTTGGCACAGGAGTAATGGTTAGATTACAAAACCAACACAATTCGTAAACCTACTCTCATGGGACCACAAGACATGATTTACAAAATCTAGATTTTCATTAGACTTTCTAGTATACCACTTACAGAAGCGCATTCGCCTTGGAAAATCAGATTCCTTAAGTCTAGTTGAACTATTGTAAGTTTGTTATGATGGAACTTATTCTTATTTAACACTCTGTACTGTTCATTTTGATACACTAATTTTTCTTTCTACAGTTCTTACTGATGTATCTTCCAAATTGTAACCGCTTCTATAGTTTATTAAATTAGCTACTATTTTTCTAAATTTAGTTTATGAGGCTGCCGTCGTTTAAAGTGAAATTCGACGTTTTCAGTTTTGCGCCGATATTTCCAAAACCAATTGACGATGGTAAATCTGAGGCCGGCTATCTAATGCACTGTACAGGGTTATCCAAATTAAGTATCCACCATTAGTAACTTTGTTATTAGTGAAAATACAAAGTTGTTTGAATTAGCAAACTAGTAGCATTTTTAACGCTGGTAAAAATGAGAAATAAAAAAAAAACAATTGAGAGTCGTTATTTTGATCTTTTTCAGTAAAATAACATTTTTTTAAATGGAAACCCCTGTATATTATATTTTTTTTCTGTTAAAGCATCAAATTTTAAACAAAAAAGCTTACAATAACTTTTCTCCTAGGTTACAAATTGTTGAAGTTATGGCCTCCAATCTGAAACAATTGAATTGTATCGACAAACTTTATTTTCAACATCAACTTATAATCTTACAAAATACAATAACAATTGTTTTTAAAGAAGATGCTCGAAAACACCACCTTGTTCTTCAATACATTTTTGGGCACGTTTTTCAACTGCTCGAACTGTCTTAAGTATGGTCCTACCATCTATCTGGGTTATCTTTTCCCTAACTGCAGTCTTTAACGCGTCAAGGTTATCGTACCTTCGCTTGTAAATTTGGTTCTTTAAGTAACCCCACAAGAAGTAATCAAGTGGGTTTAGATCTGGTGATCTGGGAGGCCACTGTATTGGGCCATTTGTTCCTATCCACTGATCATTAAAAGTAGTACTTAGAAAATGATAAGTACCTCTGGAGTTGTGGGCAGGTGCGCCATCTTGCTGAAAATGCAGATGATGTGTACTTATAAGATCCAATTCGTCTAAGAAATTAGTCAGAATTTCTGACATAAATTCCACATATCTTTCACCAGTTAGGGTTCCCTCATAAAAGAACGGGCCAACAATTTTTGAACCAATTATACCGCACCAAACGTTGAAACTGAAACGGACTTGTGGGCCTCTTGGATGTACTAACAAAGATTTTCTCTGACCAATAATGGTGGTTTTTTCTATTAAACATTCCAGAATTTGAAAAATTTGATTCATCTGTCCATAAAAGGTAACGAAAGTTATTTACATTTTGGCGACAGAAGCTAAGATACCAATGGCAAAAAACAAGTCTTCTCTCTGGATCCCCTGCCAAAAGCGTTTGAACTGGTCGGTACTTATACGGAATAAATTTGTATTTTTTAAAATCCTTTGAACAGTACCATAACTGAACTTAGAGTCCTTGAGAATATCTGCTATTGAATTCTCACGATAAGCTTCAAAATATCCAATAACTGCAATTTCCGTGGCCTCGCTTATTATGAATTCTTTTTTTGCCCTTGTTTTAGCAAAAACATTTTCGTTGCCCCTAAATTTTCGATAAAGTCTCAGAAAATATCGTTCATACGGTTGAATGCGAGCGGGATATAATTCACTGTAGTATTCTCTTGCTCTCAAGGAGGATTTTCTGCACACTAAATAGCATTCTAACATATCACACTTTTCTTCATGGGAGAACATTTTTCTTTAAATTAATGACACAATAAAGCTTATAAACAAGTATTTACACTAATGTTTGACATTATTTGATTTTATCATTGTTTTCCAAAGCCTTCTAGTTGCGAGTATGTCCAGTTTAACAATTTGTCGCTTATCTTAAGCTTGTCATGTCAATCGCGCAATGTTTGTTTTAATAGCCGTCTTAATATTATAATACTGCAAATAATTAAAATATTAATCCGTTATTTTGACTTTATTTTTTGGACTTTAGCGGAAAAGTCATTATGAACTTTTTTTGGTTTAAAATTTGATGCTTTAACAGAAAAAAATATAATATACAGGGGTTTTCCATTTTAAAAAAAATGTTATTTTACTGAAAAACATCTAAAAACGACTTCTCAATTGTTTTTTTTTATTTCTCATTTTGACCAGCGTTTAAAAATGCTACTAGTTTGCTAATTTAAACAACTAGTATTTTTACTAATACACAAAGTTACCAATGGTGGACACTTTACTTTGGATAACCCTGTAGAGACGCGAATCCTGGGACACACTGTATTAAGCGTGACTTACCTGGAAATGGCATCTTATGTGGCCTAGACCCGAACCTCTGGAACGCCCTTGTATCAGAGACATTCAACGCTATCCTTATGCCTTCTGTCAACGTCAATATATCGTGCTTCTGCGTGAAATAATTAGGTATAATATCCGGATACACTTTAGGATCTTTGGAACGCAGCTTGATCCACCCTTTACTTCTCGGACGCAGAAGCAAGGGCAAGATCGTCCACGTCTCGGCATCCTTGAGCGGTTTATAAACTGTATTGAAGACGCTATCTCTCAATCCGGTGATCTTCTTGACCTGCTCCGCATCCGAGTTGACACTGCTCGGTGCAAAGTGGAACTGGATGTCGGGCCATTGGCCGCTTTTGGGGGCGTATTTTGTGTTCACAAATGCCAGCCCTGAGAAACAACGAAGTAAATTTATTTGGGTACATCATAGCATGAATCTGGCAAATGGTATTTTTCGTCCCACGAGTAACGCTGAAAATATTGTAGTCCTATAATCTAAAGCATCCCACAAACCGGCGCGAAATAATCGCGGCGAAGTATTCGCAACGAAATTCAGAGCGAAATTCGCAATCTGTTTCGCCTGTTTATTCATACCAAAGCGTCTTATTCGCTCCGCGAACGTGAAGGTTTCGACAGATTGCGTACATTTTATTTTTGCCTTTTGCAATGAGCTCGTCTTCAGAAGAAGAGGAGGCACTTCTATTTCTTGCTTTAGAAGAAGAACAAAATGCACGGTAAGTTATGTTTATTCAACGCCGTTTGATAGTTGGGTATGTATTAAGTTTAACGAAGTACATAAAACAAATATTTTCAATTTTGTTTAGGAAACGAAGGAAGTGGGTACATGATATTAACTTGGAACGAAATAAATTTGGGGAATACCATACCTTGATGCCACAACTTCGGCTGGATGAACAGCGCTTTTGCGTATATTTTAGAATGACTCCAGAGTGTTTCGATGAAATATTGAACTTGGTGAAAGATGAAATACGAAAATCTGACACAAATTATCGTGAAGCTATTTCGCCAGAAGAACGCTATTACACTCAGATAAAAAAATTATATGTATTAAAATTAGTAGGCTTATCGAATACGAAAACTTCAGGGATCGTGAAATAAATATTTTATTGTAATAATTGGACTACATGTTGCCACTAGGATTAAATGTTGCTAAATAATTCGAGGCAGAATTTGCCTCCTCTGTTGGGTATATTATTGGAGTAAACCCAGTGCCGCTTGGGAAGGACGACATACTACTATCATACATACTTGCAGAATTCTGGGTAGACGCTGAAGACATTTCTTCAATATGTTCAAATTCTTCGTGCGCTATTAATTCGGCTATTTTTAGTTTTATTCGGGCTTGACGCTTTAAGGCAAGTGTTTTCACAGTCTGTGCATGTGCCAAGAAAAGTGAATCAATGGCCTCGTTCTCTTTTTTAGGTTTTTTACCTTCAAAATAATTAATGAGCTGTTGTACAGACGAAGATGGTGGTTCATAGCGTTTTCTGCTCGTTTTATATTTTGGTGTAGTTGCAGTCTGCGGAAAGGTGTGCCCTGGAGTAGTCACTGCTGTAGTGTTCAATGAAGAAGGTGGCGCTGTCTGTGTTGCCGAGGCGTTCTGTGCATCTTCTGCATCTACATCAGCATTTTCATCTTCTCCATGGCCGCGGTCTTCCAAATTTTCGGTTTCTACATTCCCAGCCCTTTCCTGATATATATTTGAGTTAAATTCGGCAGTCTCATAATGTATGACGTCAATATCTTTCACATTAGACGACGTTTTGGCAAATGCCAAAAAAGGACGGAAAAATTCCATGTAGTCAGCCCACTGCCATTTTTTTATGTTGCCCACTGCTTGGCCGGTCTTTGGTTTGGTAGATTTTATATATTTTGCAAAAATTTAATGAGTGTCCCTGCACCTAGATTTCTCCCTGGGCAAAATGAAATCTGCTCGTACGTCTTAATTGGTGATGAAGCATTTGCTTTAAAACCATACCTTATGAGACCATTTCCTTATAAGCAGACTTTAACAGACGTCAGAAGAGAAATACAATGTAAGACTTTGTCGAGCTAGAAGGGTCGTGGAAAATGCGTTTGGTATTTTGTCTCAAAAATGGCGAATATTTTACAGGCCATTAGAAACTAAAGTAGATACTACTATTCTAATTGTACGTACGGCATGTGTTTTACACAATTTTTTACGAAGTAAAAGTGGCGATGACAAATATTTTCAATTCTTAGATCCCCCAGAACCCGTGCTTGGAGCTTTTACTGATATAGCAAATGATCCTCGGCGGGCAGCAAGGCTAGCATTTTCTACTCGTGACAAATTCGTAAATTATTTTAATTCTGATATGCCTATGCCCAATATATAGAATGTTCGTTTTCACATTTGTGTAGACTGTAAATTATTTGACAAGTTAATAAAAAATATTAGGTACATACCATTTGTATTTAATTCTTTTCCTATTTCCATCCAAATCTTGTCCTTCTTTCTCACATTCCTGTATTCATCGTTCGACAAATCATACAAACAAGGATACTTTTTCACTATTTCTATCAATAATTCCGTTTTTGCCATTGCGAATTTTTGAAGAACGGCGTCAAAAACGCGGTCAAAGGCGAACTGAAATACGCCGCGATAAGAACGCTGGAACAATCGCTATCGCTTCGCACAAGTCTGAGCCTGTCCGTAAACCGCCGCGTTTTAATCTGATCGCGAATTCATCGCCGCGAAATTTTCGCAGCCAAAGCGAATATTTCGCGCCGGTTTGTGGGATGCTTAAATCTTATTATTTTTTTTTGTTTCAGATTTGTTTAGCATCAATGCTACAATATCCATAATATCCATAATAAAATCACAAAATATATTATGTCTTCAAGGCTACATATTTTATTATTATTATTATGAATTCTGGTTTTCCATGAGATATTTTTTCAATTTCCCTTTGAACATTTTTAAACTGACACACATCTTGATATCATTATTTAATTTATTAAATTCGTACAATCACTTTTGAAACACTGACTTGCTCGTTATACAGGGTGTCCGCAAAGTTGGGGTTTTCCTTTTCAGAAACAACTACCCTTGAAATAACAAAGGTAATGTGTAGTGAAACGAGAACGACCAAGTAAAAAAAAATAAAGGAAAAAGTACTCACTCGCCAGTTGACGAGAAGGGCTAAGTACGTCTCTGCCCGAAATCATACCGCTCCAACAGAAAATGAAATCAGCTGATGCGCTACCGAGCAGACGCAGGCAAACAGGGAAGGCAAAATGTTGCGTAAAAAATCTAGGTATTGCATCCCGTCCAATCGATTTGGGAGAATAAATGGTCCAATGAGCATACCGTTCACCATGCCAGCCCAAACATTCACCGAAAATGTTTGTTGAAAATGTGCCCGAGGGACAGCGTGCGGATTTTCTACTGACATGAGTGTTGCGAAAGTTATTCACCCCATTACGCGTGAACGTAGATTCGTCTGTCACCAATATGCACTTCAAAAAGTCCGGATTATTGTCATGTTGATGCAACAACCACTCACAAAACCGCACTCTTGCTGGAAAATCGTCAGGTTGAAGGGCTTGTACACGTTGGACGTGAATCGGATACAGCCCCTCTTCACGCAGCGTTTGCCACACTTTAGTTTTTGATACTTGCACTTCTCTAGCCACGTCTCTAGTGCTTGTTGAGGGATTCTCGTCTACGCGATTACCCCTACACGCGTGACCGTAACCGTCGGTTGAAGGTTGCATACTGACCTGACACACTGACCCCGACCCAGTTCTGTCGTCGGGTTGAGCCAGTGACCTTGTACCAGTCGGTGATGTCGCGGCTACAGGACGGTATTCAGATATTTTTGATGTTGCAGAGCCCTTTATCTCGGTTCCCTGTATATGGTAATAAGAAAAATTGCTGATGTTTTCAAGACCTACGCGTCGTGTAAAGGAAAACCCCAACTTTGCGGACACCCTGTATATATATGTATATATTAATGTATCAAATTAGCAAATAGTTGAATTTTGCAGTGTTGTAAAATATCAGGAATATCGTTAATATGTAAAATAAATAGTAATGGACCTAATTTGCTACCCTGTGGCACACCTACTGAAATGTTTTTAACTTTTGATAATGTATTTCCAATTTTAGTTCTTTGACTTGATTAAATAATTTTGTAATAAGTTGAATACTGAATCTTGCAACCCATAGAAATGCTATATATTTTCTACCTATAGAAATTTCTATTTTTAGTAGCCGAGGTTATTTCTCGAAATAAGGCAGCACGAAGTGCCATTTAGTACCAGAATCGACCAAGCCTAGACCATGCTGATGAGCTGCCAAAAAGCAAGAAACATCTGTCCATGGACGAAAGCTATATTACTCTATTATTTAAATTATTTTTTTCAAGGAATATATCGCTGTTTTTCACTTGTGTGTCAAAAAAATTCATTTGAACTTCTCTTTGCGTAAAGAATGCGCCAGTAGGATTTGATGCTTATTTGGAGACGGGATAGAAAAATTTATCAAGACGAGCATTCTTACGTTTTACGAAATATAATGTTGAAACTTTGAAGGTACTCCTCGTTCAGAAAAAAGAATACCCAGAATATACCTTTTTATATTTTGTCGATATCAAAATTATGCAAAATGGCTCATTATGTTACATGTACTACACACGTAGTTTTTGTACCATTTTCGCCTTCCTTATCCTCATTAAATTTCGTGCAGTCAATGTTCTCAAAATGTCTTAAAGTTTGTTTATCTACGTTTTCTAACTTTGAGAGGTTTCAACCATTTATTCATATCACAGAATATTGTCTGCTTTTCGACATGAATGCTCCTTACCTTCGACACCTCCAAGTGAGGTCATAGGACCTCTTTCTTTGAGTATGTACTCCATGGCAACTTGCATAGTTTGATAACGTTTTTTAGTGAACGTAATAGGATCGTCTACAATGAATGTTAATCCTCCAAGTCCAATGTGGTCCTGCAGATTGTGTCCCACTTTCAGATCGCTTAGAACTGGTATACCAAATGATTCTAGATGCTCTTTTGGACCTGCAAATGAACGAGTCAGTAATAAATCCAACACAACTGGTTTTTATGGCGTTAAATCCTACTTTTCAGATCGTGGACGTCTGCGCTAGGACGCTTAGCATCTCAAGTTCTAATTTCACGCTTATGGCCATAACCCCCCTACTTGACGCCCGAGATATATAAATAACTATTTTTAGAACCGCCCAAAATTATTTTATTGTTCTTTGTCACTCGGTAGAGGTTCTAGCCCTCTTGGATTGATTTTTATGTAGACCACCGCGTTGAAGAAAAGCACCTTACCAACTCCCGAAAGCATGAGTATGTGAGGACTTCCAATGGCTCCGGCGCTCAGTATGACTTCCCTCCTCGCTCTGACCATTTGCGGTGGACTGCCTTCTCTGACCATCTTCACTCCGTACGCCCTTTTCGTTGTCGGATGGATCATTACTTTGGTCACCTGACTGTACATGGCTATGTGGAGGTTGGGTCTGTTACGTACTGGCCGTAAGAAGGCTTTTGCTGTGGAGCACCTGGATCCTCGACGTAGAGTACCTAGAAAACATCTCAGAGATTAAGATGTCTTTACGTTCCACGCCACTGGCGAGGAACTATTGTTCGCTCGGATTTTGAAGAAGCTTACCAACTGTGCAAACGAGGGAAAAGCTTTGGATCGATTTATAAAGGCTTATATTAAGTCATCAAGTTAATTCCTAATTGGATCAAGTCAGTCAAATAGGTTCAAACAATTAGTCAATAGGAGGAGAAGGAGTACTATGGTAATAAGATCGATAGCAATAAAAATGATTCTAAAATGATTTGGAAAGCATTAAAGAATAGTGTTTTCAAACCAAACCAAATAGATGAAATGAATTATCTAAAATGCGTTTCGGAGATGGGGTTGTGACAGGAAAAATGAACACTTATTTTATAGGCAGTATAAATCAAATAGAGAAGACGGTTGATGGTGGTGATTCCAACTTATGTTCATTACATTCATCAATGAATCAATTTAGGACAATAAACATCAAGAGTCTAAGAAAAGATATCTCAAAATTGAAATTTAATCAAAATCCTAATGAGAATCTAAATGAATGTTTCATTATAATTTGTTGAGAAATCATTATTATTGGTGAATCATTATTTTGTACATGGTGAATTATCATCAAAGAGTTCCTCCTGTGCCAAAAATTCAACAATGAGCACATACGCGGGCGATTAATGTCGATATTTCGAGAGGCAAATCATTGAATTCGTTGGAGTAAACAAAATTTTTACAAAATATCAAGCTGGATTTAGAAATAAATATTCTACAGAAACAGAAAGACAAATGGTGGTAGAAGACTGTAGAAGTATCGGTGAGAAATAATGTATTGTAACAGTATTTTTAGACTTCAAAAGGGCATTGAGACTATAGATTGGTAAAAAAATCGTTAATGAAATTATATCATCATGGTTTTAAAGAATCAGTATTTAACATTTTTCAAAATTATAATTTAGGGACAATACAATTAGGCTCATAATTAACTATGAAAATATTGACGTACTCGAATAATTCAAATATCTGGATATATATATATATATATATATATATCCTTTATCCTTTAATTTCTTTGAGTAGAACGCAAAGTATTGCAAAAGTACACTCTTATAACTTAAACTCTCAAGCTTTCGAAGATCTATGTCTTCATCGTCTGGAGCTGGAAACAATTATTAACAATAGCAACAAATAGCAATTAGGAGAGAAATATTTACTTACTAAGTCGGCGAGATTATTGCTGAAATTGTTTTTAAAACAAAAGTGAAGGGAACACATAGTCGACGAATAAAAAACTGGACTGATGAGGTTCGATTAGGACGGATTTATTTTATTATTAAATGACAGGGGCTGCTTGCCTTGTTGCCAAAAATTATGGTAGTAAAAAAAACCCTGTTCACATCAGAGTTTTTTTTCCAAGGGGATGGCTTTCACCAGTTTGCAAAACTGCAACAAGATGCAACCAACTGGAGGAGAAAGGATGATGATCCTCTTCTGTTTCTATTGACGCTGAGGGTCAAAATCCCATAAAAAAAGTGGAAGACGTAGCACCCAAACCAAAATGACTTAAACTCAAGTTACCCAAAAAAAGGGTGCTAGTCCATGAATTGGCGCATTGGGGCCTAATATCCCAGAGTCCGGAAAATGACGAAACGACCCCTGCACCACGACCTCAACGGAAACAGAAAAGCAAATCACGCAGAACACGTAACGTTCTAGAAGAAGGTATCTTGAGTGGCCTTGAAGAAGATATGTTTTATAGGGAACCAACTAACGGAGTTTTTCGCTGAGAAAGAAATATACAGGGTGTTTCAGTTTATTGTTGCATAACTTTGAGATTCGATAGAACTTTTAAAATTAATGCATAAAGTCTATATAAACGTGGGTCGAAAAATGCGTGGCTTCCTAAATACAGGATGTTTAAATTTACTTTCTAAAATAGTTTTTTTTAAATATTTCGTACAATATTTGGTATACAGTAAATTGTATACAAGGTTTTTTGGTACGACAAAACGAACCATGGGCATAGTTTTACAGTAGCCGCTATAGGGCGCTCTCTACTGTACCTGTAGTGTATTAAAATGACCGAAAATTTTTTCTTAGTGCATTTTTTTTGCTTTTTGAATAAAAAAACTGATTCTTCGCACTTTTTATGGGAAAATATTATTTTTTTACATTTTCGATTTGGGCATTACAAGTAATTAAGATGGTCGTTTAGATTGTGTTTTTAAACACAGCTATAATTCCTAACTCCAAATAAACACAAAAAACAGAATAGTAATTTGTTTAATTTTCCAATATTATTTTGAACAAGTTAAATTAATTATTTACAACTAAAATGCTATTGGATAGTTAGGACATACATACAAAATCTAAAGTAGTTGCTCGAAATGTAAACCCAATTGTTCAATACACAATTCACATCTACGAATGATCGAACGTGGTATAGCATTATTCAAATAAGGCCTTATTTCATCACATGCATTCCTGATTCTGTCTATTAGCATATCTCTTGTGGTTACGGGAGTCAGGTACACTTTTTCTTTTAGAAATCCCCACACAAAGAAATCTAATGGATTTAGGTCAGGGGATCGTGGAGGCCAGGCGACTGGTCCTCCACGGCCGATCCATCTTTCTGGATAATTTTCGTCCAGCCAGTTTCTAACTATTCTCGAATAATGAGCTGGACAACCATCAAGCTGGAACCAGGCCAATCTTCTTAAATCTAACATGACATCATCCCAGATATTTGCATGTTCAACCTTTAAAAATTCCAAGAAGGTCGCAGCATTTAACCTTGCAGGCAAAAGGTAGGGTCCAAATAGTCGATTACGGTAGATACCAATCCACACGTTCACACTAAATTCATGCTGAAAATTTCTTTCCCGAACTGTATGCGGATTTTCATGCGACCAAATATGTTGATTATGAAAATTTACCACTCCACGTCTAGTGAAGCATGACTCATCGGTCTATAAAACATTACTTAAAAACTCCCTATTATTATCAGTTCTATCAAGAATCCACTGACAAAATGTGATTCTTCGTTCTCCGTCCCCTGACTGTAGTCCTTGTACAGGTTGCAAATGGTAAGGACGTCTATGGTCATTTCTAAGAACACGGTGAACATGGCTTGCTGAAATTCCTAAGGCACCAGAAACTCTCCTAACACTTGTGGTCGGATCTCTATCAAACTCACGCAGAATCATACGGCTAAATCTGCGCTGACGAACATTTATGTTTTGATCCCTTTGGAGATATCCAAAACCATTTTAAATTATTTGGCGATGCACTTTTACAAATACTGAGCGAGTCGGATGTCGTCTGTTTGGAAATCTTCATGCGTATTTTCTGGCTGTTTCTGCTGCGTTTCCATTTACAAAGCCATACACAAAATGAATATCCGCTAACTCTCAATTGGAGAATAAAAATGGCATTTTTATAAAACTTACAAAAAAAACAGGTGAAAGAAACTAAATTTCGTGAATTCACAATTGCAAAAAAACGTTTCAGGTTTCAACAGACAACAAAACTAACTGTCAACTAATTGACGTTTAACCTTATTCTGCTTTCAATTTCAAAAATATTTGCACGCACAGCCTACTTCTAAAAATTATCGAGATACTGACTTTTTAACGTTATTTTATCATAAATAATTAAAAATGCATCGAACCTTGAAAATCGAAATATCTCAAAAACGGCTAACTATAACGAAAATTCACAAGATAGCATTTTTATGTTGAAAAGTGCGTAGAATCAGTTTTTTTATTCAAAAAGCAAAAAATTGCACTAAGAAAAAATTCTCGATCATTTTAATACACTACAGGTACAGTAGAGAGTGCCCTCTAGCGGCTACAGTAAAACTATGCCCACGGTTCGTTTTGTCGTACCAAAAAACCCTTGTATACCATTTCGAAATATTTAAAAAAACTGTTTTAGAAAGTAAATTGAAACACCCTGTATTTCGGAAGCCACGCATTTTTCGACCCATGTTTATATAGACTTTATGCATTAATTTTAAGTTCCATCGAATCTTAAAGTTATGCAACAATAAACTGAAACACCCTGTATAATACGAGTGAAACTATACAATCAATAAACTATTAAATTTTTCAAAAGAAAATCATTGACAAGGTTTGGCCTAGGATGGGCACTCTATTATCAATGAGAGAAATTCAAATTACGGATAAGTGATAAATAGTAAAACAAAGGTGCATTATTAATTTTGATTTCGTCATGTGAGTCTGTACCAGAAAGAAACTTGAAGTTTTTCCTACGAAATTAGTCAATCCTCGTTTCTGACGAATACGTGGAACAATGTTATCTAATTTTTTAATAGCCTCTTGTATCAGAATTTCGTATGCTTCAGGAGATTTGATAATCCAAAGTGCAAGTCTGAATGATCAGCATTTAAAGGCTTGAGAGTATTTTGGAGTCTTTCGTTCGTTGCTGTAGGTCGAACGCCGAAGGGACGATACCTACGTTTTCGAAAAACCGGTCACAATGCCGCGAATTTTCTGGATGAATGCGCCAGTATGTTGCCGTAATGGCCGTTCGGGTTTTTAAAAAAATTATTTTAACTTTACAAGACTGTCTTCAATATAACTTGAAATACTTTACAATGGATACAATGTACAATACGACGATCAAACGAGGAATCTACGGAAAGCATGAAGAACCTCTATTTATCATCTCGGGCTTGGATGCTTTCCTCAGCGTTTTCTTCTTCCACGCGTATCCTTTTCTGCATCATAACTTGCATCCAAAAGATTGCATCATATTTTTGTTCCTTACCTTGTGACAACATGAATCCAGTTTGCATCTCCCCGTTGAGGTCCCTGACCTGGTACCCCAACTCTTTGCCGGCTTGCAGAAACGCTATAGACAGCGGTGTCCTCCAAGGCGATTCTTGTACGGTAAGGTACCCGCCAGTGGAGTGGTAAGGCGTGCGCGTCAGGTACGGATTCCTGTTGTCTTCCGATTTGAGGAAGTACGGCAGGACATCTTCGTAGGACCAGCCGGTGTTACCCTGCATCTCCCACAGGTCGTAGTCCCTTCGGTTGCCTCGGATGTAGATCATTGCGTTCAGGACAGAAGATCCTCCTAGCACCTGCCACAGTTATTCGTTATTATTTTTTCGTATGCAACTAACCGCGAAGGCAATGCGTAAATATCGACTGGAGCGTTTGAATCAGGGGAATTTATCGAAAACCACTGATTAAAAGCAAAAATACCGAGATACGTCAAAAGATTTTGCAAGGGGGACAACTTGTTAACAAAAAACTACTTCATCCCCTTTCACCCTCGCGCCAGCCTGCCATTCCTGCTGTTATGGGAGATTTTGAAAGAAAGATAATCATTTCTGTGCTGAAAAATATGTATATGTTAAAAGATTATAAAGCTATATACATGAGTGTACACATGCATAGTAGACATCCATTAATGCTGAGGTGTTTAACATCCTCCCTAGCATAAGTATTAAATACAGACTTTTTCCAAGTTTCTTACATACGGAATCAATTTGCTCTGTCCATCTTAAATTGCAATCAAAGCTTACACCTAAAAAATCAGTCAATTCGCGGTAATTCCCCTACTCGGTTCTAAAGTGAGTAGGGGAATTACCGCGCGCTGTTCACTAAACGTATGGATTATTTGCGGCAATCCCCGAAAATGCGTTTCGTTTTCAAGCAAAGACAATGTGAGGGTTGCCATTCGTGGAAAAAAGTAAATAACTACCGATGACGTAATCATCATCTAGACTCTCCTACCCCCCATGTCATCCAAAATGAGCAAAGCAAAGTTTTGGGTCATTTTGGACTAAAATCTAATACTTCATCACACAAAATTGTTACTGTACTGATATTTCATTAGGCTCTGTACACACAGTTACTATACTAGATAAATTTCATCCATTCAAAATGAAAATATTGCAAGAGTTAACCGAAGATGATTTCGATAGACAATTTGAGTTTTGTGAACAAATGACTGCAGCGATTGATGATAATACCATTCATGTAAAGAACGGGCAACATTTTGAACACTTATTGAAATAAAAAGTGATATTTTCGTGTGTTTTTGTTTTCTGTGTGAACAAATTAAGATAAATGAAGATTTTGCTAATTTTCTAGAAAACGAATCGACCGATTTTAAAAAATGCCACGTCAAAATAAAGGACTTTGAAAGGCCTCACAAACAAGCTATTATTCGTTACTCCGTATCATTAAAATTTTTTAAGGGGATGACCCTAGGGGCAGAGGGTGAAGTGGTTTTTAGTTAAAAAGTTGTCCCCCTTTGACAAATCTTTTGACGTGATTGGCGTTTTGTCTTTTAATCAGCGGTTTTCGATAAATTCTTGGTTGGAAGTTTTCAGATGAACACCCTGTATGTAATGGACAAGCGAGTCTCTTTGGGAATGTGTTAACAGCGGACTTGTTTCGGTCAACATAAAATTAGAAAAATAAACCTTTTTGTTTTAAGAACATCCTCTCAAGTTGGCATGTTTTAAGCAAAATTATACTAAGTGACATATAAATCCGAACACCCAGTTTAAATGGTTTTATTTTAATAAAATTTTGTATAAGTACTTAATGAAGCATAATAAGTAAATGATAAAAATTTCAAAATGATTGCACTGCTTTAAAGCCCTTTGACCTTTAATAATGTGTGGATGCACCCTGATGTGCCAACTCCTCTCGATGTGCTTCTAGAGTCTGAGAAGGACGTTGCAAATTGAGCAATCTCCTACCCATCATATCCCACACGTGCTCAATTGGGGATAAGTCGGGAGATCTTGGTAGCCATGGTAACAACGTGACATCATTATGTTGAAAGTCTATTGTGACTCTTGCAACATGTGGTCGGGCATTATCTTGTTGGAAAGTTGGATCTGCCAGGGTGTCAAGATAGGGTAAAAGATGGGGTTCTAGAACTTCGTAGATATAACGCTGCACGTTCATGTTACCTCTGATGAAGATTAAAGGTGACCTGGAACCATAAGCTATAGCACCCCAAACCATAACTCCAACAGTGTGATGAACATGTCTTTCAACAAAAAACTGTAGATTCCTCCTTTCACCACGTCGCCTTCTAACCCTGGCACGACCATCGTGCATGCCTAAACAAAATCGAGAGTCGTCACTAAAGACAATACTGTTCCATTCCTGATCCCAGAGTGACCGTTGTCTGCACCACTCAAGGCGATTACGTCGGTGTTCTCGAGTTAAAGGGAGGACCCAGTGTGGCCGGTATGAAAACAAGCCAAAACTTCTCATTCGTCGATAAACACTTCGCATGCCAATAGGTCTTCCGTGTTCAGCAAACCATTCATTTGCAATGGACCTGGTAGTGGAGAAACGGTCCCTTAAGGCCAATAATCTTAGGCGGCGATCTTCACGGTCTGTTGTTCTGCGGCGGCGTCCAGTGCCCCTTGCTCTTTGCGTACGGCCTTCTCGAAGCTATACCTGACAACACCTAACCACAGTGTCTACACTTCTTTGCAATCTAACTGCAATTGCCCGAAAAGAAAGTCCAGCTTCCCGAAGTCCCACTATACGGCCCCTATCAAACTCACTAAGTTGACGAAATCGTACAGGTCTCCGTACTCTAGGCATCATAACCGATCGTGAAGGATGTCAAGAACCAAAATCCGCCAACGTTGATTCTTTACTGCGGCTGGAATATTTATTTTTAGAGCGTTAGTGAATTAAAAAAAAGCAGTATAAAAACCGCAATGTCCAACTGATAAGGCTGAAAATTTATATAAACTGGGTGTTCGGATTTATATGTCACTTAGTATATTTCTGTTTCTTAAATATTTATTTAGCATGGTTGCGACATTAGATTCTTTAAAAAAACTACAACAATTACATAACATACAGATATTTAGAAAAATAAAATTTGCATCTCTAAGAATTTTCACTGTCCATGAAATGTTCCTTTTTGACCACCATGGTACTTTCAAATATAAATGGGCAGAGAAACCTATGACGTGCAAAATATACCAACCTCAAAATTAGATATATGCTACCCCATCCAACCAACATCCACTAATTTTTTTATTCCCAACAAATTTTTCAAAAATGATCAAGATCCTTTGAAACGTAAAAAAAATTAGATACAAGTTCTCTTAAATATTTTCTACAGATAGGACGATTCGGAAAACGGTCATTAAAAATCCTTTCGGTCTCGTGAAAGTTACGCGTCGCACCATAAATAAAAATCCCAATGGACGAGAATTGACCATTTTAAAAATAGTTCAATATTTTAACTGTACAATGTTTTCGTACTAGTATTCTTGTCACTGTCAACAAAAAATAACAAAACAAGTTTTTATCGCTGTTGCTGTGGATACGGCAGGAAATTACAATTATTTGTAGAGATATGCATATTAGTGGGTTTGTGTTCTAGTAATTACACTGGACAACAAATTTTAGTTTTTTAATTGTATCTTGTGGGAAAAGTACACTTCTTTGTTAATTTTGGGGCGCTGAATCCAAAAATGACAATGAAATAAAAAAATTAGTTTCGGTTTAGAAAAAAAGGATATATTAAAAAAAGTAACAAGATTCATATACTTATAAGAATCACTATATGTGCTGTCTTTTTGCTGTTCTTTTATGGATGTTTCTGGAGCATCTCTACCAAGAGTCCAACAGTAGTCTGCAAGCATGGAAAGATTCCACTTTCCCTGGTACCTTTTTTCCATTGTTGAAATATCCTGATGAAAACGTTCGCCGTGCTCATCACTTACGGCTCCGCAATTGTCATGAAAAAAGTCCAGGTGTGAGTGTAGGAAATATATCTAAGAGACATATTACAGCCCATCTTTTGATACGATGACAGCATATTTTTGACAAGGTTTTATAGTTGTCAGCTTTTCTATTTCCCAAGAAATTAGTGACCACCAGACGGAAATCATTCCAAGCAGTTTTTTCAATACCTGTTAAAGTGTTTTCAAACTGTGTATCTTTCAAAATATTTCGAATCTGTGGCCCAACAAAAATACCTTCTTTAACCTTTGCCTCACTTAGTCTTGGAAATTTCTGACGCAGGTATTGAAAAGCTGACCCATCTCTATCTAATGCCTTGACAAAGTTTTCATTAGGCCCAACTTGATATGCAGTGGTGGTAATAAAATTTTTTTCGAATGTACTAATGAGATATGCTGTACATTTTTTTGACCTGGCTCTAGGAATTGACGAACAGGCCAGTTTTGTCTGGTGTAATGAAGTGCCTTTGCCCGACTGTCCCATTCACACAAAAAACAGCAAAACTTTGTGTAGCCTAGCTGCAGCCCAAGTAAAAGTGCAACAACTTTCAAATCGCCACAAATATGCCATTGGTGCTCATCGAATTTTATGCATGTCAATATTGTCATATGATTCTTTCATGTGAACTGCATACCCTACAGGAAGAGATGGTAAAATATTTCCAATATGCAATAACACTGCCTTTAAACTCAATGTTGAACTGTCTATAAACAATCTCCATTCTTCTGGGTTGTAGTTTATATTTAAAGTCGCCAGTAAGCCGTTAATGTTACTGCAGAAAACCAAGTTATTCTCCATATTGAAAAATGGTTCTAAGTCTTTGTGGCGTTTACGAAAAACACATACCGAAACATCGTCTTCTAACAAGTTCCACTGCTGCAGTCTTGATCCAAGTAACTCTGCCTTACATTTTGGAATTTCTAAATCTCTTACAAGATCATTTAATTCTGACTGTGTTATTTTGTGCTGTTTGTGGCATGACGTGCTCGGTATAAAATCAGGATCTCTTGACGTTGATGGCATATCTTCTTCCTGATGAATCACTCGATCGCCATGATCTGATTCGTTTTCTGATTCGCAAGTGTAGGATTCTGGGGTTTTTGGAATAGGATTTTCGTCACTGTGAGGCACAGGTCTCATCCCAGATGGTATGTTTGGGTAGTTAATAACCGATTTTTTTTTCTTGGACATACCTGTGGCTTGTCCAACACAAGGTACCATGAAAAAGTAACAATCATTAATATGATTTGTAGGCTCTCTCCAAACCATTGGGACAGCAGAGCGCATAGACCGTTTTTTGCCATTTAACCAGCTCCTCAGACTTGAAGCACATGTATTACAG